AGGTAGGGCCCACCTGGATCACCTCCCCACCTGGAGGTCCTTGGTCACCACTGCACAGTCTGCGTTGCCACATAAGGTCGTGTTCCCAGGCTCCAGAGATTTGGGCCTGGATACCTTGGGGCCAGTGTCAGCTTCTGCCCGGAGGGAAGGCCTGGAGGGGGGGCACCTCACCCTAGACAAAGGGCAGGAGGGGGAGGGACAGTGGAAGCATGACTGTCGGGGCACATCCAGGGGCTTCCAGATGGTTCCATGAAGTCAGCGGAGAGCAGCGTCTCGGGGAGGCACCATGTGCAGAGGTCGGACACATGGAACATGGGACTGTAAAGAATCCAGCGTCGCACAGGTAGAGCGCTCTGGGAGATCAGGCTGAAAACTAAGTGGGGCTTTCTCTGCAGGCCGCGGAGTTTGCCCTTTGGCCGGAAAGCACTGGAATCTACTGAAGGGTTTTGACCCAGGTTCGTCCTTTGTCCTGTCAGTTTCGTGGAGGATGGTTTGAGGTGGTCTGGAGCCGGGGTCTGTAAAGGGACCTTTGGCTGCGTGGTCTGTTGCACCAGCCAGCTCAGGACGCAAACACGTGGGCCCAGCTGGCTTCCAGCGACCCAGGTTTGGCCCAGGCGGCCGTTTGCTGACCCTGCGGCGGTGGGCCAGGTGCTTGCAGAGTAAGGAGTGGGGCCAGGCCGGGACTCTACCCCCAGCATCGGACCTGGTGGTCAGCACGGCTCTGGGACGTAAACAGGCTGAGAGAAGGGAAGTGCCTTGTCTGAGGTCACGTGACTGGTAGATGGCAGAGCTGGGGTCTGGACCTGTAGGGTCTTGATCATTAGGGGCTTTGGGGTGAGACGGGCCTAGGGCAGGGCTGTGGGGATTGAGTCCACACTGGGAGGGGGTGCATGAGCGAGCCAGTGAGGGAGCGGGTTGGGACAGCGGGGACTGGGGTGTCCTTGCCAGGATCTGGCGTTCCTGAGCAGGAACCTGTTTGCGGAGGCTGCAGGGCATTGGGTGGGGAGGCCCACAGGCTGAACTGGGCCTGGAATTCGAACCTGGAATTCTGGGAAAGGGTCAGGCTAGAAAGGCGTGGGTGGGGTGGGGTCTTCATCTAGAGATTGAGCCCTGGAGGTCACTGGGAGAGATACTGAGCTGGCAGGGCTGTGGGAAGGGAGCCAGCCCCAGGGACTGAGGAGGCCAGCAGAGAGCACCCCTGACCCCGGGAGGGACAGGTGCTGAGAGGCTGCGAGATAACACGTGGCAGGTGCTTGCTGGCTGGGCGGGCAGGTGCAGGCCTGTGGGTCGGCTGCTCCTCGGGGCAGAGCCAGGCCACGGTGCAGCAGCCGAGGGGGAGGAGGAGGGTGTAGAAGCCCTGCCAGGATGGTAAGCCGGGGCCGTGGGACTCAGGGCAAGGGTTTTCATTCCCTCAGCACTAGCTAAGTGCCCGCGGCGTCCCCGAGAGTGCAGAGTCCGGAGGTCAAACGGTGACAAGGTGGGAGACTCGGACCTTCTGTAGACGTGAGGCAGGAACCCGAAGGCAGGCGTGTTTGTGCTGAGAGGAGACGGTGCTCCCGCTAGAGGGGCTGCCCCCCAGCAGCAAGTGAGGGGGTGGGCGTGGGCTCCACCTGGGGGCCCTGCAGGCTAAAGGTGGCCACGGAGTGGTCTGCTGGGAGCAGGCAGGCCGGAGAGTGGACAAGACAGCAAAGGTGTGGGTGGTGACTCTGGAATGCAGGGGGAGTTGAACAGGGACGCGTGGGAGGGTTCCAGGGGCCGGTGAGGACGACACATCGCAATGCCTGACCCCAGCCTACGCCGGCCGGCACCGTCTTCCTGGCCCTGTGCTCAGATGTGGCTGCTGAGCAGCCCCACCGTCGAGGGCTTGGTCCAGGGCTGTGGATTCACAGTGTGACGAAGGTGGGGCCCAAGGGTGCAGAGTGCTGAGGGTCCCTTGACGAGGGTCAGTGGCCCGCCAGGGCATTGCTGTTCCTTCAGCAAATGTGTGCTGAGTTGCTTCTTCCTGCCTGGCTGTCAGCCAGGTACTCGGCTGTCACCGTGGCAGATCCCTGCCCCAGGAGGAGTGGTCGTAAGTAATCACCTGTCACGGGAGGGGAGGGGAAGAAAAGGAGCTGGAGCCCTGAGGGAGGGTGGCAGGCAGGGAGAGCTGAGGTCTAGAAAGGCCCCAAGGATATGAGCGCAGCCAGGGGTGGGGGGACAGGTACTGGATGTCCCGGGTGGAGGGAGCATGGGGCCGTCGATGTCAGGGCACAGGAGGAGGCCTGGGTGGCAGGTCAGCAAGCAGAGGAGAGGTGGGCTGTGGGGGCGGGGTGGGTGTTGTCCCTGGAGCAGGGAAGCCCCTGAAGCCGGAATGTGGGTCGTGCTCACGTCACTCCGTGGCAGGTGGCGCTGGCTGTTGGGTGGCGGGGCATTGTCGGGAGGGGCTGAGGGAGGCTGTTGGCAGGTTCAGGTGAGAAGTGGCTGTGGAAATGGCCGGAGCCGTGGAGAGGAGGCCCAGCTTCGCACGGACGGGCCCGATGGTGCAGTCGGCGCGGGAAAGGAACAGGGCGGGATCGGCCACTCCGCGGTGTTGGTGGCGGTGGTTTCTAGCTTCGTCAAAGTACAACGCTAGGAAAGTACACCTCTCGGGGTTCCCAGGAGAGCTTTGACTTGGGCACCCACGTGAGTGGTGGCTGCCAGTCACCACCATTCCTTAGGGCAGATTTGGGGGCAAGTAGGCCTGCAGGAAGAGGGAAATAGGACTTGTATTCCGAAACAGTGCCGTTGGGATGTGTGGTAGAAGTGCAGGTGGAATTTGGAATGGGAAGTACAGTGTAGGATTTAAGAGCTCGGAGTCAGCAGCGTCCAGGCTGAAGATTAGATGCCAGGAGCCCTGGGCGTGGCTGGGGTTTGGAAGCCTTTGGGGCTGGAGAAGGGACAGGGAAGGGCAAAACCTGGGTGGCCGGGGAGGAGCGGCCAGCGCCAGGGATTTGAGCCCCAGCTGGAAGGCCTCATGACAGCCCATAACCACCCGAGTGGCAGCCGTTGCCCAGGAGGCCTGCCCCGTGTGCCGTCGCTGCAGCCCCCTAGAACAGTGCCGAGCACAGAGGAGCGTGCATTTTCTCCCGGGCCTCTCCAAGCAGCGTGCGAATCACTTGCTCCCTGAACCTGACCCTCTGGGGAAAACCTGAGACTGTCCAGCAGAGGCGTGGAGGGCACCGGCTTCCACATGGAGCTGATGCCCTGTTTTTGCATCTTCTCGGAGCTGAGCAGCGTGGGGAGGCGGCGCCTCTGTGGCCACTGGACACTAGCAAAGGTGTGAATCGGGGTACACTTGGGGCCCCAGGATCACACAGAGCCGCTGGAGTCCCCAAACCCTTCCCAGGTGCTGCCTGGCAGTGAAAACAGCATCTGCCCATTAAGTCACATGTTTCTTGTTTTTCTGGAGGAGGAGGCAGAGGAGGAGGCAGAGGAGGCAGGAATGCTCCATCCGTCCAGCAAGGGAAGTTTCTCGGGCTGGGGTTTGTTGAGTTGCAGTTGAACGGCTGGCTGAGAGCTGCCGGCAGCTGAGACTGACGTTCTGCCAGTGGTGCTCCCAAGCAATCGGGAGCCGCCACCCAGGGCCCCAGTGTGGCACTTGGCAGCTGCCTGGAGACAGACGGCTCTCCACTGCGGTGGGACGGACATGGGTCTGGCGCCCCTGTGGCCACACTGAGCTATCATGCTCTGTGCGTGGGAAGTGGGGGGTGGGGGTGAAGGGCTGCAGTTCATGGCCACCACCGGCATCCCAACCCTGGGCTCTGCCGAGTCACCACGCCGGGCAGAGGGGGTGGCCAGAGAGGGGCCTGGGGCCAAGCCAGGCCCGAGGTGAGCCCAGCAGTCCTTTGGAGCCGAAGCACAGACACACTGGGCTCCCAGCAAGAGCCACTGGGACTCTGGTTCCTGCAGCCATTTGCATTAATAGAAAGGAGCTGGGGGACAGATACTGCCCAAAACAACAACAACAGCAAAAAAAAAACCAAAAAGTGTTTTCATTTGGTTTGGATCTGTTTTATATGCAAATGCTACAGGATCCTAACCCGGAGGCAGTGAAGACTCATTCACTTAATAAACGTTCGTAGCTCTGTGCTTGCCACTGTTCTAGCAGCCAGGGATATAGAGGTGGAGCTGGAATAAGCTAACAACTGTACAACATGATGGCAGCTGGTGGCCAATGCCAAGGAAGGGATGGGGGGTGATGTCAGGAGCAGGGCAGTCAGGGAGGGCTTCTTGGATGAGGAGGCATTTAAGTAAAATACAGATCTGTGTGCTCTCCTTTACCCCATCCCACCCCACCCCTGCAACCTTCCTCCCTATCCCTCTCGCACTCTGACTCTCTGGCTCTGCTCTCTTTAGATTGCAAAGCACCAACCTACACAAAACTTTTTCTCACTAGCTTTTTTTTTTTAATTTAAGAGACAGGGTCTTGCTATGTCGCCCCAGTTAGAGTACAGTGGGGTCATCCTAGCTCACAGCAACCTCAGACTCCTGGGCTCAAGTGATCCTCCTGCCTCAGCCTCCCGAGTAGCTGGGACTACAGGCATGCGCCACCACGCCTGGCTAATTTTTCTATTTTTAGTAAAGACAGGGTCTCACTCTTGCTCAGGCTGGTCTGGAACTCCTGAGCTCAAGGGATCCTCCCGCCTCGGCCTCCCAGAATGCTGGGATCACAGGCGTGAGCCACCGCGCCCGGCCTTTTTCTCACTAGCTTGCTTTCTATCTTGCCAGCTGGGACAGGGGAAGTGGAATAATTTTGTTCTAGAAAGACTTCATGTCTTGCTGAAACAAAGATACTGAGAGATTCTAGAGTTACTGAGATACTAGAGTCAGGGTTTAATTAAAGCCGAGGAAGTAATAATGGCCACAAAGTAGTGGAAATACTGTTTCTTCTGGATGCCACACTTCGGACCGTGCCGGTTTAAGTAATTGAGAAGCGACCGTGCTTCCCGGGTGGCTGACCTGTCCTCTCCCTGGCTGTGCAGGTCCCGCCTGACCTTCAGTCTGATGCCCGTCCAGCCCTCCGACCGCCTGGAATGGAATGAGTCTATGCACTCCCTCCGGATCAGCGTGGGGGGCCTGCCTGTGCTGGCGTCCATGACCAAGGCCGCGGACCCCCGCTTCCGCCCCCGCTGGAGGGTGATCCTGCCGTCCTTTGTGGGCGCCGCCGTCCTCTGGCTGCTCTACTCCCACCGCCCATCCCCCGGCAGGCCCCCCACCCACAACGCACACAACTGGAGGCTCAGCCAGGCACCTGCCGACCGGTACAATGACACTTACCCCCTGTCTGCCCCCCAGAGGACGCCGGGGGGGATTCGGTACCGAATTGCGGTCATTGCGGACCTGGACACAGAGTCACGGGCCCAAGAGGAGAACACCTGGTTCAGTTACCTGAAAAAGGGCTACCTGACTCTGTCAGACAGTGGGGACAAAGTGGCTGTGGAATGGGACAAAGACCACGGGGTCCTGGAGTCCCACCTGGCGGAAAAGGGGAGGGGCATGGAGCTCTCGGATCTGATCGTCTTCAATGGGAAACTCTACTCCGTGGATGACCGGACAGGGGTCGTCTACCAGATCGAAGGCACCAAGGCCGTGCCCTGGGTGATCCTCTCCGACGGCGACGGGACGGTGGAGAAAGGTAAAGGGGCTGGGCTCTCTGCACCCGGGTCTCACCGAGGCGGGGAGGCACGAGGGCGTCCTCCGCGCCCGGGTCTCACTGGGGTCGGGAGTGGGGGCGTCTGGGGCCGGCTGGCTGCTGGTTGGTTTGCGGTTGAAAAGTGGCGTGTGCACGCGTGCCGTAAAGAATCCACACACCCGGAAGGCAGGGACGTCGGGACGGGCCTCTGCCTCCAGCTCTGACCCACCCCAAGCTGGGAGCGAAAGCCTCCGCCGCTTCACACTAGAGCAGTTTCTAGAAGTGCAGGCTGTGACCACAGGCCTGCCAGAGAAGTGGGGAATCTTTCTGGGATAAGTTCTAGGGCTGCGTCCACTGCTGCTCTGACTGCCTCTAGGAGCGTGTCCCTTTTTACATCACAGAGGTGTCTCAGGATCATGCTGGGATTACACCCACCAGGCGCCTTGCCTTGAAAGCCGCGGTGTCAGATTGTTCTCGTTTTGAAGCAAGACTTTGATTTCAGTTCATTATTAATAAAAAGGTAGGCGCCTGCTGCCCAGCCCTCCCTCTCTGAAACGCGGCGGAAGGAGGGCGTGCGCGAGCGGCAGTGACGCCCTGTTGTCAAGCCTGCCCTCAGCCCGTTGTTCACCAGGAAGGAGTCACTGCCCCCACAGGGCAGGGAGCGGGAACCGCCGTGGCCCAGAGCCTCGAAACGGGGAGGGGCGGGACATTGGCAGAAGAGTCACAGACGACTCCATTGTGCCCCGTGGTGAATCCGCGCCTCCCAGAAAGCTAAGCGCCACCGCACACTTCCCATGGTCAGAGGAGGAATCGCGTTGAATGACTGGCCCCGTGGCAGCACCCCCACCCTCCCCTGGTGATAAGATCCTCAGTGTTGGCGCGAGGCCGCGGCAGCAGGCAGGGAGCGTCTCAGCCGAGGTATTGGAGAACACGTTGGTCACCCGCTTCCTGTCTCATGTTCTGTTCTTCCACCTGGATGGGGAAGAAAGTGGAATAAGGGAGCCTGTGGGACTGGCCCGCGGGCAGGTCACCGAGGGGCAGACGACCCCGTAAATGGAGAGCATCTTGTAGCAGACGTGGCTCAGGACACTGGTGATGTCGCGGGGGCCACCAGAATCCAGCAGTTCCCAGCAGAGCCACCTGCAGAGAAGCTGCTGCCACCTGGCGGGGGGGAGCGCGGTGCAGCTCCAGCGCCTCAGGGGACAAGAAGCTTGCGGAGCCTGGGGAAGCAAGCCTACGTCAGAACACGGGTGCAGGGACAGCTGAGAACATGCTGGAACTGCAAAAGTTCCCTCACAGCCTGAGCTGCGTGGCAGCCTTCAAAATTAGGCTTAAGTAAATCAGTTGAAGAGAATAAATAATAGCTTCTAAGCAAATCATTGACGTGAAGACTGGGAGCCCCAACACAGAGCCCCTCTCAGCCTGCTGCGGCCGCTGGCATTGTCGGCCCCTCGGTGAGACGCCAGGTGTGGCCGCCAGGGCAGGACACGTTCTCCTGGGACAAGCACTTCAGAGCTGTCACTTTGTAAACTTTTTTGGCATTTGAGAATAATCTTGAAGTTGAGGGTTACAGCTTGAGGGCAGGGCTCTGGGGGTCGGCTCGGCCTTTTGGGGCTGAGGGGAGGGTGGAGCAGGATGTGCTCAGGGGGGGAAAGGGAGGGGCCCGGTGCAGGCTCGCCTGCCCCCGCGTGACCGCCAGTGAGGCTCCCTGGTCTTGCTGGGCCCGCGCCGCCCCAGCCCGGCGGGAGCCAGGCGCGTGGTCCCAGGCGCCCTCTGCTCTCGTTGGCCAGGCTTCAAGGCCGAGTGGCTGGCTGTGAAGGACGAGCATCTGTACGTGGGCGGCCTGGGCAAGGAGTGGACCACCCCCACGGGGGACGTGGTGAACGAGAACCCGGAGTGGGTGAAGGTGGTGGGCCACAGAGGCGGCGTGGACCACGAGAACTGGGTGTCCAGCTACAACGCCCTGAGGGCCGCCGCTGGGATCCGGCCGCCAGGTGAGGTCCCTGGGAAGGTGCTTGCCCTGGATGATGGCGGCCGCCTGACGGTGGCTCCCCTCAGGCCGGGGGTCTTCTCGTTCCTCCCCGACCTGCCCGACAGCCCACCTCCCGCCGTCCCTAGCCGCAGCCCCAGGTCGGCTCCAGCGAGTTCTGGCTCGGAGCCCTGCCCGGGATGTCCTACCCGTACCATGGGGGGGCCACGGTGCTCCGGCCGTCCTCCTCTTCTCCTGAGAGTCGTGGTTCGCAGCGAGGGGCCTGACGGCTCGCAGCTCAGGAGGCCGTGACAGGGCGGTAACCTGGTCCGCAGGCATCTTCCCATCCCGCGAGGGGAAGGAGCGGCGCCTCCTCCAGCCTCAGAGCAGCCCCCACGCTCACTCTTCCCGCGAGTCCCGCTCGCGAGTCTGTGCCGTTGCGCGTCCCCGGGCTCTTTCTCCCTTCCCTGCCCTTCGTTAGCACCAGGGAAACGTGTGTCATGGCTGCCCTGGCGTGGCTCGCTGGCAGCTCCGGGGGAGCCGGCGTGGGGAGGCGGGCCGCGGGCTGTGGGGGAGTCGCTCCCCGTGTCAGGCTTGCCTGGGCCTTGCTGCCCTGGTGACTGGGAGCAAAGTCAGCCGGGGAGCCTGGGGCGCTGGGGACAGGGAGGCCACTGTGGGCTGACGGAGCCTCGTGCTCCACAGTGCCTGGCACCGTCCCCAACCCCGCCGCATGCCTGGTGACCCGTGGGTCTGTCCTGTGTCCCCAGGCTACCTCATCCACGAGTCCGCCTGCTGGAGCGACACGCTGCAGCGCTGGTTCTTCCTTCCGCGCCGGGCCAGCCACGAGCGCTACAGCGAGAAGGGCGACGAGCGCAAGGGCGCCAACCTCCTCCTGAGCGCCGCCCCGGACTTCAGCGACATCTCCGTCAGCCACGTGGGGGAGGTGGTGCCCACGCACGGCTTCTCGTCCTTCAAGTTCATCCCCAACACCGACGACCAGATCATCGTGGCCCTCAAGTCCGAAGAGGACAGCGGCAAAATCGCCACCTACATCATGGCCTTCACGCTTGATGGCCGCTTCCTCCTGCCAGAGACCAAGATTGGGAGTGTGAAGTATGAAGGAATAGAATTTATTTAAATTTTAAAACTAAAGACGTTGACCGAGGCTGAGGGGCGGACAGCTTTAAGCTACATCAGCACTCAAATTTTATAAAAACGAGAACTGCACTGTTTCTTTTTGGAACTATGAGGTGTGTGCCTGGCTTAGAGATGTCCAAAGTCAGGGCTTCAGTCCCAGGCTGGGTCCCGGACCCGCCGTGCTGTCCCGGGTGCGCGGCTATGGTGCGGCTCTGCGCTGCCACCTGGTGGTAAGATCCATCATTGCAGGCGTTTGATCGGCGGCCTTTGGAATTTGGCCCCGCCCTTCCTTCTCCATAGGACCTCCCTTTCTTTTCTTCCCATTAGTTCTTTTGTTCAATAAAATTCCAGGAGCTCCTGCTATGTGTCAAGCACTGTACCCCCTCCCTTCGGAACACAGTGAGGGTGAGCTGGACCTGCCTGCTGGGAACTCCCAGGCCACCCCCTTTCTTCCCACTTTGTGGGCTCGGGCATGCTGTCCCACCTGCAGATCCGTGGGGAAGAGCGTGTCTGCACTGCAGGCAAGACAGGGCTGTGTGAGCGGCAGGGCCCTGGGGGCACGTCTGGACACAGCCGCCACGGGGAAGGACGCAAGCCCAGCCCATCTGTCAGTTCCCAAGCCCCGTGTGAGACGTCCCCCACTTCATACACCAATGTCTGTTTTCTCCCTTCAGGAAAATTCTGTGGCTGTGTAGCACTTTGACGTTTTAATTATTAGCCTATTTTAATTAAAGCAATTTCCTTTTGCCAAATCTTATCACACACAGCGAAGTCCTGTAGTTAACGCATCTAGTCCCAGCAGCAGAGATCATAACAGAGCAGTTACAGTTGGCAAAGCAAGTGTATAAATGTTTCTGAGTTCTTGGCCAACAGGTACAAAGATAAAGAAAACGTTGCCTTTTTCTAGTAACTATCAGAAATCGTCATGCTTCTCAGGACTTAAGACTTGAATTTTTCACCCCTGGCTTGAGAGGGAGCCCAGTGTCTGACCCGCCTGCAGTCGGCCGGACCCTCGGGCTCCTCTTCTCTGGAGGTTGTGAGTGACGCCTGTCACTATCTGGGGTTTCTTCCGTTGTCTTTATTTCTCCGCTTCCCGGGGGAGTTTTGCACACTCTCCTCCGTGAAAACCCTTCTTGCGGGCTCTGGCTGGCCCTTGGTCCCTGCCGTCTCTCTGGCTGCTCCAGGGTGAGGGCGGGGTAGGGACGGAGACAGGCACGGCCCAAGCAGAGAGGTCGTGGTGCTCCTCCCACAGCAGCTACCTCACCGACTCCCGCGGGGGCAGGCGGCCTGTGCCCGTCCTCCCAGACCCGTCCCCTTTGAAACTAACAGCCTCGAGGAGGGCGCCAGGAGGGACCCCCTCGCGCTGCATTTTTCTCCCGTTACAGAACAAGTAGCAGAGGAAGCAAAGGCAGGTTACTGGTAGTGACACGTTTCTCAAGAACTTGCCTCTTCCCCGGCATAGCCCGGAAGACCCAGGTGTGTCCTACCTGTGCCTGGCGGGGCTCTCTGACCCGCCTCCTCCACAACCGTCCAGGATGCTCCGCCTGTGTCATTTCAAAAATAGGAACCCGGGAAGGCTGGATGTGTTGACGTCAGCAGCTGAGCCAGAGTCCAGGTGTGGAAGCAGCATTTTCACAGCCGACGGTTTGCAAATACTGGAAGCTGGCCTTTCCCCCCCTGTATTCGATACTGTGAGCATAAGGGTTGTGTTCCTTCCGCCTGGGTCCATCTGTTTTGTGAACAATAAAGTGTGTGAGGGGAACCTGAGTCCTCTTGTGCCCTGGCCTGTGTTGGCTGTTTGAGGGGGCGCCACCCTAGGGAGTGCATGCGGGTGGGGGACCATGAACAGCCCTGGCTGGGAGGCATCTGTCACGGAGCACAGCAAAGAGTGAGCGAA